GTGCCCATCTTGAAACTGTGCTGATTATATAGCTCCTCTGTGCTGCTGGGGGGAAGATGTGTGTGAAACATTCATGTTTTCACAGACATGGATGTAAACTATCACTGCAACTCTGCAACTTGTTGGGTTTGTGGAGGCATACAACAGTGAAGTGGTAATTCTAGTTTGTGGTTATTTTCCAGCTGATTCTGTTGAGGAAGCACAGAAATGGCTGATAGGACTAGAATTGCTGAGGAAAGAGACACTGGAAGCACCAACTCCGGTTCTTGTAGAGAGGTACACACACACACACACACACACACACACACACACACCCACAGTTATGGGAGAAAGACTAATCCAGTGATTGATCGCTCTGTGTTTCTTTCTCTCCAGTTGGCTGAGGAAGCAGATGTATTCTGTCAATCAGACCAAAACAAACAGGTACTGTATTATCTGGTTACTTATTTACACTAGCTCTGTACATAAATGATAAAATCAATAGGATTTTTACCATGTAAATTATCACTGGTGTTTTCTAAACGAATCAATTTTCAGTATGTGAGAAAACCTTTAGGAAGTCTTTTGTCTAACCTGTTGATAACTGAAGAGATTTTTTTTGTAATTACTTTACATAACATAACATGTATTAAATGCAATAAAAATACAGTAGGTAACTTTAATAAAAATAACTTTTTGTAACATTTGACATTATATCCAGACATTAGCACATGAGACAGGTAATCTGTGAAAAACGTCATGTTCCTCTGCATCCTTGTAGTACTTCAAAGGCATTTGCAAAAATCTGCCGCGGCTGAATGAAAACAAGCAGTCAGAGCTATGGAGTCTTTAACCCAGCTGTCAATCATGTCAATCACTGCACGTGAACTGCGGTCAAACTGTCAAACTACTGTAGGCAGCGTTGATGAAATTTGAATCAAGATTCTGTTACTGCATTGCGTTTTTCTCACCTCAAATGTTTTCAGAAACATATTTTTGTGTACTGTTTAGCTGTAAAATGAGAAAGTTTGTGACCCAACAGCCGTGTTAAAAAAATCAGTCCAAAACAAAGCACCACTCTCTGTTAAGAGCAAACTTTCCCATTACCAAAATCTAAATAAATCTGTCTCATGTAGTGTCTAGATTATAGTGACAGTTACAGCGTATATGACAAAAAGTTATTTTTATAAAAGTTACCAACTGCAGCTTTAAAGATCACACTCATGGGCCAGATGCACACGTGATGAGTACGTTCTTTTTGTTTCCTTCCCAGCATCTCCATGAAGGAGCTGAAGGCTCTGCTAGCTTTGCTCAACTACAAGGCCCCCAGCTCTCGTACTCTCAAAGACAAATTCCTGGTACTCTTGTTTTCTTCATTGTACATGTCACATTCTCATCGTTGTTGTGTTTGATTGATTCTAATCTAAAATTTTTAGACACCTCTGCCGCTCAGGCCTTAGAAACACACCTCCATGAATAAACCTTATTAGACAACATAGACATGGACAACCAGAGCTATAATCTATTCTATGATGCAAACTGCAGCATGTCTATCGTATCAGAAACTATCAGTGACTTATTAGACATGACCTTATTTGGAAATAAATATTCCAATGTGCTGTTGGTACTGTTGTAGTCCGAATCAGTGCCTTTTTGTTCTGCTTTCATAGGAAGTGGGAGCAAAGAAAGACCGCCTGGACTTTGAGCAGTTTCATAAATTATACAACCTTATAATGTTTGAACAGAATGAGGTAAGTCTGAACTGAACACAATAAAGTAAATCTGTATTACTGTACATGTCCTTTTTTTCAGCATTTTCATCCATATTATATTTTAAACATAGATCCTTGATGAGTTCAAAAAGGAATCATGTGCTTTTATTCTGGGGTGAGTGCCTGTTTTTCCTCATCTTTGTTTAACACTTGATTTTAACAAACAGTTTGTAGTTTGTGAGCATTGTTTGACTCTGTTTTTACTCTCCTCCATTATACAGTAACACAGATAAACCAGATGCCTCAGCAGTTCTGCTCCATGACTTCCAACGATTCCTCATCTACCAGCAAAAGGTAAAATACGCTACAATGAGTGATTAGTACAGCGCAAGTTCTTCATTACAGTTGCCAGCTGTGGATAATGGTCCGCATTTTGTCTGTAATAGCTTGACGCACTGGTCTGATACATGTCTGACACTTGCCACCTCCTTTCATTTAGCTCCACCAAAAACAAAGCACACAAATACTGATTTGGACATTGGTTACCATGGCAACAAATGAAGCTTCAAAGCATTCGTGTCAGCCCTATTATCGGTCTAACTGATTTTTCCATAAGTCACCTAATCAAAAAAACAAAAAACAACAACGACATAAATAAATAGCAGAAAATTCCCAGTTTCTCAAAATCCAAAGTGAAACAGCTTGAAAACTAGGTGGCACTGGAATCTGTACAATATTCTTAAGTCAATAAGATGTGTAAATAAAGATTTAAATTGGTATTGAATATTATATTTTTATCTTAGGATATTTAACAGGCATAATGATTCATGATAAAAACTCTACATTTGGCAGTACTTGTTTGCAAATATACTGTGGGCCAATGATTTAAAAATCTGTCTTGTATGAGTCAAAATAGATAAAAGTATATGACGTCCACGTTTTGATATCAGCTGGATAGTCCCGAAGGAAACATAGCGAACCAAAGTCAGTGGGCTTTATTGAAAGGTTATAGCGATGTGTCGTCAGCATCAAAAGGTAATGAGATGGCATTGTGGTAAATAATACTGACAAGCAGGAGCATACAGTAGGAAGGTTAAATAAAATAGGACCCAGAATTGATCCCTGAGGTACTCCAAACCCAGATGTGGATGATGATGAGATGTGACTGAGAACCAGTTTAGGATGATACCAGACATTTTGACCTCAAACTTTTGATTCTTAAACAAACAAATTCAAATTGTCATCATCAGTCATTCATCATCATGTGGCTAATGGTGTAATGATGATGTATGTGATTTTTTTTTTTTTTTACATCATATTTCATTGCATTTTCCTATTGACCGATATAATACATTTATTAATGTCATCATCATTGGTACCAATTTTTGGTATCAAATTCTAAGCATATCATCCTCAAACTTCACTGTAATGCTTGGTTTTATTCATAACTATTTATGTTCACATGATAGAACAGTGACGGTTGACAGTTTCTGCCATCATTTACAGTGAAGAAAAGTGACACATTGTAATTTTAGAAGACAGGCATAATTTCATTTATTGCCTAAATTTCTGTTTACCATTTTGAATGGAACATTAATAAAACATTTTCCAGGTAGACACCAATAACAAATAGCAATGCTAGTTTATACAATAACTTATAGCTATTGATAATCCAATAGTCCCACAAACTGTTCGGTCATTTGCTGGATATGCTTAAATATCTTTCTCTCTTTTTATCTGTGTCTGTTCATCCTTCAGGAAACCTGGGCCAGTGACCTGAACAAAGTTAGAGAACTGATGACTACCTTCATTGATGACACCATGAGAAAAACCAATGATCCGGAGTTCACCGTCAGTGAGGTATTCTGTTCTGTGTGTGTCTTGTCTGTAACAGAGAGAGAATATGCAAAGTCATATCAGACTTTGATATTGGTTACTGTATCTGCAAGGTGTTTTAATCAATCAAAAGTCAATTAAATGAATGCAGTTCAATGACCCAGCAAAAAATTTTGCATTAAAAGTATCATGAGAAAAGTGAGTGGTTAGTTTGAAACATAATGCTGGAAACGATGTTGTTGTTGTTATATTTGAAGTGTTATTATTACTAAAATGAATCATTCAAATCAGGAGGGACTGTGTTAACTCTAAAATCTGAAACATTTCTCCTCCTCTAGTTCCTTAGTTTCCTGTTTTCCAAGGAGAACTCTGTGTGGGATGAGAAGTACTCAGAGATCAGAAACTTGGACATGAACAACCCTCTGTCCCATTACTGGATCAGCTCCTCACACAACACGTCAGTATGACCACACACACACACAGACACACACACACACACACACACACACACAACACACTATAATCTTGGGTGCCCATCTTGAAACTGTGCTGATTGTAAAGCTCCTCTGTGCTGCTGGGGGGGAAGATGTGTGTGAAACATCCATGTTTTCATAGACAGAAATGTTAACTGTATCTGCAACTTGATTGGTTTGCAGTGGCATACACCTGCAAGGGGGTAGTTCTAGTTTAGTTACAAGGTTGTTTCGTAAATCACACATTGATGGTGCAGCAATGTATTGTACCTGTTTTCTGACCATTTCACTTGAAGTTAATTGCTAGGCAACAGTTTAGGTCCAAGCGTACTTTCTATTAGCTGACAAGAAAACTATAAAACAGGTTCATTGTCAGCTAATGTAATTTAAATACACTGCAAACATTCAAACAGAAAATTTAAAGGGACCATTTAGTTGTTTTGTTTGTTTACGTTGTCAATTTTGGCTTCTTGGGGGCTCTGGGCTGAAAAAAATATTTCAAAGAGGGTACAATACTGAAAAAGTTCAGGGACCACTGATCTAGCATGTGTACTGTTTTGTGTGTTCTTCAACAGCTACCTGACAGGTGATCAGCTTCGAAGTGAGTCGTCCACAGAGGCTTATGTGCGCTGTCTGCGTCTTGGATGCCGTTGTGTTGAATGTCAGTATAAACCCACCCCATTGTGTTACATTTAGACCATGGATGTATTTTAGCTCACCTGTGGCAGTTACATTAGCAGCATTGGTCAGGACAAATCAATACGATGAGTGGGGATAAAATGATAATAATAATAAACAATAATTTTATATTTACAACACCTGTTTTTTTGTGCTTTGTGTGATACTCAATCTGTTCAGTGGACTGCTGGGAGGGGCCTGGGGAGCCAATAATCTACCACGGCTGGACCAGGACGACCAAGATCAAGTTTGAGGATGTGGTCAAGGCCATTAATAATCATGCTTTTGTCACATCAGAGTAAGAATTACAATTTGTTTTAATACTTTAATACTGTTTTTTGATGCACTGGTGATTTTTACATTTTGATTTTTTTTTTTTTTTTTTTTTTTACAGCTACCCATTGTGTCAATACATTGTCTTTATAAGCATGCTTCTTATCTCTCTCAGGTTCCCACTGATCCTCTCCATAGAGGAGCATTGCCCTCTAGAGCAGCAGCGTCAGATGGCTCGAATTTTCAAGGAAGTGTTTGGAGACAAACTGCTGACTGAACCTGTGGAGCAGATGGCTGAGCAGCTACCTTCACCTACACAGCTGAAGGGCAAGATCATACTTAAGGTATTGTGTGTGCATGTGTCTAAACATACTGATGTGTCAATGGAATTGGTACATCGATGAGAAAAGGTCTTGTTTTGTTATCATTACTAATGACTGTGCCCTCCCCTTCCTGCTTGTGCAGCACAAGAAGCTCAGTGTGGAGGGAGGAGGAGTAAGTAAGGACTTCAGGAAAGGGCAGAAACAGGGAGATCTGGAGATCTGGGACCCTGTGGACCAGGTACTGTCGGAGGGGTCAAATGGGTATGGCAAGAAAGCTGAGACTCCTTTAACTGGTATTAACCTGCATTAACTAACATCAGAATGCTCTGTGTTGAATTATTTTACATTACACCGAGGGCCTGTGGCACAAAACAATGTCAACTGCTTTGTGATCCAGATGGTTATCCGCTACCTCAGTTAACTTCTGTTTGGCTATGAGCATGTTTACATGAAAGTGGTGATGATGTTTTGGTGTTCATCATGATCAGACACCATACATTGGTATGCCTTCGTGGCCGGAGGCATTATGTTTTCGAGGTGTCTGTCTGATCATCCGTCTGTCTGTCTGTCTGTCTGTCTGTCCGTCCATCGCATTCATGTAATTGTGATATCTCATGAACAATGTCAAGGAATTTCTTCAAATCTGGAAAAATGTCCATTTGGACCCAACAATGGAGTGATTAGATTTTGTTGGTCACAATATCTACACAAGGTCACTTATGCACCTCCAGGGACAGTCCAGCGCTTCATCTAACCTGTGTATGGCAATAACAGAAAGTTTCTCTTTATCCAGTTGGGAATCGAATACGCAATCAACCGAGTAGATGCTCCTTCAGCGTTGGCCAGGACACTAACAGAGTGCAGACATTTGCAGCCCAGACCGCCTTTCAAATGCGGTTTGGGTGATCAGATCTCAAGATGCATTGATGATGGATGGGGTGCATTTATACCTGTACTTAGAGCTGTCCACTTGTGATCCAGTCACCCAGGATGCATGTTAACACATGAAAAAACAGGGCTGTAAATTCTATTACATTTAGGTCTGGTTTCACTAAAATTTCGCAGTTAAGTCTTTCTGATGTTAAATATTTTAGAGAGCTACATATACAGTATACAGTATGTGTGTTAGAACTACAAACACATTTGTAAATGAGATGTCGAATGCAAGCCTATTGTATGCTGCTCTGAAAGGTTTCCTGTATGAACAGCTTGTTTGCATGTGCAGTTAAACATGTACATTTTCATTTCTCCTTCTCAGCGGTGGAACAGGCACTACTGTGTGATCTCTGATGACAAGCTATACTATGCAGAGGAGTACGAAGACGAGGACGAAGATCCCAGGAAGGTAAAAGAGAGATTGGAAAGTCAACAGAATTTGAATACATTTTTTAAAATTTATTATTAACTTTAAGCTGTTTCATATAAAATATAACAAGTCCACAAGTGTTTTAATCAAAACATAAAGATCAGTGAAACATATCAATAAGAGGCAGTAAGGTTATGATTTTTATTGGATCAACTGTAAGGTTAAAGGTACCCAGTGAAATTGTTGACCACTGGTAGTGCTATGGAGTATTAAGTGTATGGTAAAATATGGAGTTTTTATGAGTGAGTTCCGTTATAACTTATATGGTGCTGGTAATGCACCCAGAAATGCAGCGAAGTGCTTATAGATGGGATTGGATAGAGGAAGAGTGCTGGCCAGCAGACATGAGCCCTTTTTAAATAGGAATTGTGCAAATTTGCAGGAAAGCCCAATCAGTCTTTTTTTCAGCATTGGCAGTATAAAAACAAAATTGGGGAGTGCAGCAAAATGCCGCCTACCTACTTTTGTTCATACAGAATACGCCTTTTTCGGCGTCCTTTGGCGATTCTCTCGTAAATTGGCTCGTTCTTCACCATCCCTGTCATTTGACGGTTAATGGCCTCTTCATTTGCGAGGGCAAGGAGGGCACGCAATTTCTTGTCTCCCCAGTTGCTCATCTTTACAGTAGTGTCAGGCTTGTGTTCCTCTCTTGCTACTAGCTGCTCATTCCTGCTATCAGCTGTTTCCTGTTTATCCACCGCCAGTGGGTCGCACGTGTGGCGTCATCAACAGCTCCTCCCACAAGTCATCAACAGCCCCTCCCGTGGCGGAAGGGTGCCTCGTTCTTTTTAAACCAAAATGATGGTAGAAGGGGCTATGGATTTAACAGTGCAGGTGTCAAAATAGTAAAAAATCAGCTTTGTGAATGTTTTATACATTAAATGTCAGGCGCCCACAATGCATTAGTGTGAGAAACACAAAATGTTAACATAACTTCAGGCTATATTTAACCAAAATCATTTTCTGATATGATTGTAATTATGATTATTGTTATTATTATTATTATCTAAGGTTTAGACTTTAGTCACATGACTTGGACTCGATTCAGACTCGAGCCACAAATCTGATGACTTAAGACTCGACTTAACATGGGGGCCTAAAATTACAGACCAAGATGCAACAACTTCCAACTTCCTTTGACATTTGAAGTTAAACAAAGAACAGTAATTCGAACTGTATGTTAACGTAGTTAGCGAGCTTAAGCTTAGCTAACATTAGCTTAACAGCTAAGGAACTTTTTAACAAATTTGTGTTAACAATTAGATGCAAATTTTAAAAAATAATCATAATTTTTGGAAATTCAATATTGGTATTACATTTGGTAAAGAACACATTATGAGTTGTTCAGGACTCGGGACTTGGCTTAGGACTTGCAAAACAATCACTTGGTCCCACCTCTGATTAATTATCATCAAAGGCTGGGCCCAGCAGTGATACAGGAAAATATGGGAGAAACAGGTTGTAGAATGATATATTGGTCAGTGATAATTTTCTTACAAACAAGAAGAAGAACCAATAACAAAGTGTGTATTTAAAACCATTGTTGTTCATATCTTTCTCAGTACCAGGACATGCACTGTTCAGAGCCATGGTTTCATGGTCACATGAGAGAGGGCAGGGTGATGGCTGAGCGACTGATCCAGGATTACTGTGCAGAGACTGGGGGAAGAGACGGCACCTTCTTGGTTCGACCGAGCGATACCTATGTCACAGACTTCACCCTCTCCTTTTGGTACAACTTCCAATTTGTTTGGTCTCGTGACCAGCTTCAGCAAAAACTTAAGGACTGTAGTTTGTCATGTAATACACAGTGCAATTGCAGGAAATACCTCTTCCAAAGGCTATGGCCCATAAAGGTTTGGCTGAACCTGTGCCTCCTCTTAAAATGAGATAATTCACCACAATGTAATGGAATACCGTACAGATTCATTTTTTTCTCCAGAATTGTGCAGAAGATTGCTACATTTGTCAGCCATATTTTGTCCCAATCTTAGCACATCCCTTGCCTCTATGTTGTGTGCGTTCACATCATGCAGGATGTCCCGATTCTTGTTGGATAGAGGTGTAGGGAGAACTGTAAGGGCTATATGGCATGGTTTTTCAGAGACACCCTCCAAACTGAGTGTTATGAGAAATAATTGGCAAGATGGCTGCATAAGCAACAAAAGAAATCCACAAATGGATTTTGTTCATTAATAAGGATTTAATAATTACAGCAACAATCATATTATCTTAGTTTAATGTTGTTTTAGTGTCTTATGGGCCTTATTTATTACAAATAACAAAAAGAAATCATTCAGGCACTGTATATAATAAGCCAAGCTCAAGTGTAGTGCAAGTTTGTGATTCAACATATTCCAATCTGGGGAAAACCTTCCTAACCTGTTGTCATGGGTCAACTCATTTCACCATTCTAATTTGAATTTAAATCACCAAAATCAAATTATTCAGCAGTATCTGAATTCCCAAACTATATCCAAATACTCCAGGGTCAGGAGGAGCTAAATTGTAGACTGTGCAAAAGTGTAATATATTTTCATCAATTGTATGTTGCTGTAAGCATGCATCTTCTGCATGTATTTCAGGCGCAGTGGGAGGGTCCAGCACTGTCGTATCCGCTCAGGCACAGAGGGGGGACACACTTACTACTACCTGACGCCAAACCTGCATTTTGCCACCGTGTACGCCGTGATCCAGCACTACAGAGAAAACCCGCTGCGCTGCCAAGACTTTGAACTGCGCCTCACTGACCCTGTACCACAGCCCAACCCACATCTACAAGAAGGGTTTGTATTATATGAACAAACATGAGTCTGATACATCACAGGAGACTTAATACACTAAAAATCATTCAAATAAAGCTAGCGATTAATTATGATATCTTGATAACATTTTTGTACATGAAAGCATTCATTCTATATTCCCATTTAGGGAAAACACTTTTTCACTCTTAAGCCAACAAATGCTATTGTTTATTATGATTAATGATATGATTATATAAATTAGTCTTTTTGTGTCTAGTACTGAGATATTGTAGGTTGCAGATATGTTTAGCTGAGCGTAGCATGTGGCCTCCAACACCTTCAAATAGGTTTTACTTACATGTATTATCTTGTTGTTTGGTAAGGTTGCCACCAAAGCACCAAGATTCACCTGTAATTTTGGTCATGGTTAAGTTACTAGAGTGGCAAAGGCTGACTTTTAACCTGCGATGGTCTATGGTTTATGGGAAACTGTTCTCCTAATACTCCTCCTGTTGGACTCATAATGGACAGTTTAAAAGAAAGGATCAGACTTAATGCAGCAGAGCAATATATTGTCTTTTTTTTATTTCACACATTCATCTTCTTCATTTACACCTAGTGCCTGCATTATCCACAATGCAACTTGACCAGCAGCAATTTTTTCAGGGATTTGGGTCTGTTATGCTAACAGCTGCTAATGTAGCCACAAGTACAAATGAGGAGCGAGCTACAGAGACCTGGTAACCAGAGGTTGGGGACTTGAATCACATGATTTGATTTGAGTTGAGTCGGACTCAAGTCACAAATTTTAGCACCTGAGACTTGCTTGACCAACATTGACAAACGACTTAACTTTTTTAGTTGGTATTCATGACTTGAGACTTGACTTAGACTTGAGACAAATGACACGAAAGGACTTGTCTTTTTTTATGCCTCCGCGCTGGCGATAGCTGTGGTAGGAGGCATTATGTTTCAGGTTGTCCGTCCATCCATCCCAATCTTGCGAACTTGATATCTGAAGAACGCCATTGGGGAATTTCTTAGATTTGCCACAAATGCCCACTTTGACTCAACGGTGATCTCATTAGAATTTGATGGTCAGAGGTCAAGGTCACTGTGACCATGTGCCCATCTCATTTTGTGAATGCGATATCTCAAAAGACCTTGAGGGAGTTTCGTCAAATTTGGCATAAACCTTCACTTGGACTCAAAAAGGAATTGATTAGAAATTTAGTGGTCAAAGGTCAAGGTCACTGTGACCTCACAAAGCATGTTTGTGGCCATAACTCAGGAATTCATATGCTAATGGTGACAAAATTTCACACAAATGTAGAATAGAACAAAATGATGAAGTGATGACATTTGACAAGTTCGTGGAGGCATACATCCACCAGGTGGTAATTCTAATTTAATTAAATATTTGTATCAGATATTGAGAAGTCAGTGACATGACAACTGCAACATCCCAATTCCTCTACTAAAACAAACTAGAAAGCTAAGGTTTGACCAGATCATCAGAACTGTATATGTTACCAACTTACCAAGTTGTGACTTGCTTCATCTGAACAGTGACTTGACTTGTCATGCTTGAGTTAGGCCCACAGCAGAGACTTATTTTGACTTGGTTCTCACCAGAGTAACTTAAGACTTAAAACTTGCACTTGTGTGACTTACTCCCATCTCTGCTGGTAGCCATGTTTAACTCAACACCCCCAGGTGGAGTGGAGTTTCGGTTCTGTGCTGGTGTGAAGTTCATTACAATCATCATTGTTCATACAGTGGGATTTGATCAGGTTTCATAATCACCAAGGGCCGTAGAATTTTCCCATCCCACTGACGAGCACCTGAAGTTGCTTCTACAATGTGTTCAGAGGGTACAATGAATGATTTTCATACTGATGTTGGTTTGGTATAGCTTCACCTCTCACATTTGCTTTGTGTCAACTACACATGCATGCCTTCTATTTTTCACTTCCACTCTCATACACCCACAAAAGGTCAGTAAGTCTCTCTCCTCTCTCTTTCTTCACTTTATTTTGAATCTATTTGAATAAACGTTACTGACATTAAAAGAACAATACCTCTTTTGTCAAAGCGGCATATTGTAGTGTCATCTAATACCACTGACATATGATAGAATACTTGTATTTTTGATAACACACACACATACACTAATACGTAACTGTTGTGTGTGTGTGCGTGTTGTGCAGGTGGTTCTACAGCAACCTAAGCAGAGGTCAGGCAGAGGATTACCTGCTGAGGATTCCTAGAGATGGAGCGTTCCTCATCCGGCAGAGAGAAGGAGAACCAGACTCTTTTGCCATCACATTCAGGTGCAATGACACCTAAGATTTTATTTCTCTTTGTTTTTTTTTTTTGTTTTTTTTTGTATTGATCGTCTCTGTCTTTCAGAGGTGATGGTAAGGTGAAACACTGTCGGATCCAGAAGGAGGGCAGCATGTATCTGCTGGGCACCACAACAGAGTTTGAGAGCCTGGTGGAGCTGGTCAACTACTTCAAGAAGAAGCCACTGTATCGCAAGATCAAGCTACGTTACCCAGTCACCCCTGAGCTGGTGGACCACTTCAGCACAGTGAGTTACTGTAGGAAACATACAGAGACTAGAGACAATGTTAAGAATTCCTGTAGAAACATTTACTGTAGCAGCAAATAGTAATAGAAAAGACAAATAGTTTGAATCAACATATTTTACAGACGTGTAACCAACAAGCCAGAACAAATTAAAATTATTGTCGCCAATGTGTCCTATCCATCCACTTTTATTTTGCTCAATGTTTAAGTCCTGCTACTGTACGTCTAATGCTAATATCAGATATGTTTCAAAACATGTCATCTGCACTGATTGGTACCTAACAGTGTATTGTGCTAACACAGGAAAAAGGCTGTGCCTCTCTGTATGAGGTGAAGACATATGTGGAACCTAACGAGATTGAGCCCTCACTGGTGTGTATACAACACTACACTCTGTCAGCCAGGGCTGTCTGTTCTCCTGTGCGGTTTCCTTTAGTAAAGACATTCATGATTGTGTGCGTTTGTCTCCTTTAGCCTCAAAGTACAGTCAAGGCTATATATAGCTACCAGGCTGAAAGGCCAGATGAGCTCAACTTCAGTAAAGGAGCTTTGATACACAACGTAACAAAGGAAAGTGATGGATGGTGAGTCCACCCACACACATGGAAAGCAACAGGCTTCATCAAAGATTGGTTCTGAGTCTTATTAGCCACTTTATTTCCCTGCATCATGCATATCCATCTGCATATATTTGGCTAGCATTGCCAACTGCAAAACCACACAAGAACAAATAAGACTGTTTACATTGTTCTCCTTGTTCTACTCGCTACAGGTGGAAAGGTGACCATGGTGGAAAGTTGCAGCTGTACTTCCCATCTAACTATGTAGAGGAAGTGTCCAGCAGCACCAAACCTGAGACCAAAGGACAGGTGAAGATTAGATTTTAAATCACAGTTTAAATGGAGGTCAATCAGCATAGCAACTGACTAAAAATAATATCTGCGTATGTGTGATGTGTATTTAAATAGGACATGGAAGACAACCCACTTGGTGAACTTTGCAAGGGTGTTGTGGACATCTCCAAGTGCAACATCCAAAATTGTGAGTTATTTTAGTGTCTGCTACATACTTTACATCCACAAAACCCTGAGGTTGAGTGCAAACACAAGTTTTTACTATCCTACACTGATGTTGCGTTTCCCAGGTAAACAACTAAAGTAATATGTATATACATATATATATGTACGAGTTAAAGGTTAAAGATCTTGACTTGCACACAACTGATATATTTCTCTCAAATTTTGGTCGTAAATTTGTTAAATTTCATTTAAGTTTTTGTTATCAAGATATATTTTTAGATCGTTGATGAAAAACTTTGGTCATAGTTTTTGTCCCAAAAATTAACACTGCACAACACGATGCCACAGATGTCGCAGGTTTTGAGGGAGCATGCCATTGGCATGTTGACTGCAGGAATGTCCCCCAGAGTTGCTGTTTCAGATCTCAGATTTTATTTGCACACCACACAGAATCAACATGTGTCAACAGTTACACAAGTACAAGACACAATTGTGTGGAGTGCCAGGTCTCCCATGAAGCTATTTAAAGCTTATGGCGGGAGCCTGATCAGGAAGATGAGTCAAGATGTATAGCAGTGACATGGTACAAGACATGTTACAAACACAAAACATATTGCAGACACAAAACAAAAACACACAAGACAAATCAACATACATTCCCAGATCAGTGAAGGATACTATACATATGAATTATTATTTTATTATTTTTTGTTTCAGTTTCTTCTTAAAAACAGAGATGGATTTAGATGTTTTCAGACTCTAATCGAGCCCATTCCAGATCTGCGGCCCCTTGGTTGTTATGCTTAGACTAGTGCATTTCAGTCGTCTTTTTTTTACCATGTATAAGATGTGTATTTCTGGTATTATAAATATGCGTGGGGCAGCTGACTGGGATGAGCTTGGAGAGTCTTGGATTCAAGTTATGGACAACTTGGTACATTGTAGAAGCATTTTGATGAACATTGAACTCAGCAAGCCTCAGGAGATTATAGTTATGGAAGAGGGAACTTGTGGGAGTGTTATAACCAGACCAGGTTATGGCTTGTATAATTTTCTTTTGTAAACTTTCTAATTTCTTCAGGTGACTAGGGAAGGTGTTGCACCAAATAATATTACAATAATTGATATGAGGCTCAAACAAGGTTTTGTATAAGATAAGGAGAGCAGGTAAAGGAAGGAAATATCGAAGTTTGAAAAATAGACCAACATATTTAGACAATTTAGTTAACAGATGCTCATTGTGACATTTGAAGTTGAGTGACTCATCTAGAGTTAGAGTGGA